TTCGCCTTGCTTCTCCTCAGTTTGTTTTTTACTTTGCCAGCTCTTCATTTCCACGTTTATTTTTTAAATTACGCACAAGTATTTTCGGTGGAATGCCTGCCTTTCAGGGCGCCTTTAAAGAGGTCAGGCGACGGGGGAATTTTCGAGGAGGACACGGGGTAACGGGGTAACTTTCACTCGAGGCAAACGCTCAACCTGCCAAGACGACATCGACTGCGACATCGAAATGGAAATTTATTAGCGAATTATGATTTCTGTGCACAGGCTGGCGGACACTCAATGATAAAGGCGGCCGGCCGGCCAAACTTGGCTTCAACAGCAGGCCAAAATAAAAATCGACAGCAACAATGGCCACGCCAAAAAAAAAAAACAAAAAACGAAAACAAACAGCGGCAAATGAACTCTGAGCAATTCAGGGCAGTCCAAGGAACGTGACTGAGGAACTGCGGAAAAAAATATAAAATAAAACTGAGAAAACGAGAGGCCTTTGCCAGAATCGAGGAGCGGATGAAAGAAAGTTGCCAGCGTTTTTTTTTTTTATTTTTTGACTCATGTTGGTATGCCCGAACCCCTCTTTTTACCCCTGCCCCTGACCCTTTGAAATAATGAAAACGAAAACATCAACTCGGTTATAACAACAACAACAACAACAACAACTGTGCAAATACAAACACACAGCACAACACAATTTTCTCGAATTTCTCGACAGGTTTGTGTGTGTGGTTTGTTTTTTTTTTTTTTTTTTTGGAGGCTTTCGCAGCTAGGCAAAATATTTGCTTAACAATTTCTACTGTAACAAATAAATAAACTTGCTGCCCGGACAATAATGCCCATTAATTGTTGCCCGACGATGATGAAACGCGAACAAAGTTGGCTCATTGTCTCCCCGGCCGATGTTGCAATCGTTGTCACCCACGTAAATGGAGTCATAAAGAAGCCGCAGGTCCACCGGGGATGACTCAAAAGAAAGTGAAATTTTTTAGGGGGAACTGGAAGAAATATAAAGAAATACCCAAAGAAATTGACCGACCGACCGACCGAACGAACGAACGAATGAACGAGCGATGACAAGAAGCGAAAGTGAAATGCTTTCGCGGCCATTGATGATTCAATCTGCCACGCCCCTTTGTTAACACTATCCAACCGCCCCCCGAAAAAACAAAAAAAAAACTTGCATCCGAAAAATGCGAAAGTTTGGTTATCAATCCGCACCCAAAACAATAACAATAACAAAAACAAAGCCCCCAAATATTTCTCATACATAAAAAGCTCATAAACTCTGGGCGGCTGGGATATTTAACAATTCAGATGAGGGCCCGCCGATAAGCATCTCGGTTGCATAAGGCCGATCTCAGAAATAAACGAGATGCGATTGTCCGCCGAAATTGGGGGAGATGTGGTCAACAAGCTGAAACGCTTGTGAAAGAAACCAAACAATCCAGGGGAATGTGCATAAACTAAAATTCTTGAGTGAAGAGAGCTAAAATTCATAGAATATCCAGAAAAATCTAACATGATGGGGGAAATTTTTACCCCGTTTCATGTTCGATTTTTCATCAAATATGTCGAAGGTTATGACGATTTTTCTGTTAATTTTCTGTATATTCAACGATTGTTCATCATATAGCTATATGATAAAGTCGTCCGATTTTTATGAAATTTAATTCGAAATTCAAGATTAGTTAGAAAACTATTATACATAGTCCAAAAATCATGATTTCCTGATGAAAGGCAACGCTGTTATAAGTTTATTTCCGTTTATTCTATATAGATTTTTCGATCTTTCCTATGGCAGCTATAAAATATAGTTGTCCGATTTTGATAAAATTTAATTTGTAATTCAAGAGTCGTTCCATGTAAGCTTGTCTCTCAGTTTTAATACTATATTTCTAAAAAGTTTTGTAGTTATTGCATTCAGTATATAAGTCGGAACGCTTCGGATCGGGCGACTATATCGGATAGCCAAAATCCCCTTGGACGCTTGGATTTCAGCTTAGTTTGCTCTGTCGCCTGGAGTTTGCCGATTCGAGTGAAGTGGCTTAGCGGCGATTGAGTCCGCTGGAGGAGCTTAAGCTGCAGTCGACGGTCCGGTTTCAATTGGCATCGCGAATCGCAATTGACGGGCAAATTTAGCAGCGGATTCGGTTCGGCATGCGGGACACGTTGGCCGCCTGGTAAAATGGAAAATGTGAGCTGAGCGTGGAAAAGCTGCGCATATAAATCCACGCCGGTTGTCAACATGTCGTCGAAGTCACAGTTGCAGCCGAAGTTGCAGTCAAAGTTGCAGTCGAAGTCGAAGTTGCAGTCATGGCCATGGGCGGCCAATTGCCAACTGCCTATTGCCTATTGCCAATTGCCAATTGCCAACTGGCGATAGCCGGCGGTTGCATTTCCATAGGCCGAATGTCGAGTTGAACGTGGAGTGGCGTCAAGTGCGCACCGCTCAAATTAAAATGAGCCGTTAAGATGCGACGGCCAACGGGCCAAGTCGAACCGATAAAATCGTCAGTGGCCGTTGCGCATTTGGCGGTCGTGCCATTGATTGATGCCGCATTAACCCCAAAAATGCAAACAAACGGCATTTCCGAGTTGCCATTGGGTAGGCTATGGAAATACCCTATAATACGTCAGCAAAAACTATCAATATTTAAGATTTTAAGGGGTCATAAACATTACAAAACTGTACAATTTCATTTTAATAATTTTTTTTAATTTATTGTGTTCCTTTTTATAATTTTGTTAACATGCTTTAATATTTTTGAAGATCTTAAATACCTATCTATTATATTTTTTTTGGTAAATTGTTTAAATTGTATTCTAATACGTTCATATTGTTATTTATTTTTTGAGTAACTGATAACAATTACATTTTCCGGTCAAATAATAAATTATAGATACATTTCTGTTGATTGTAATTTGTATTATACAAGTAGATAAAACTGATACCATAACCATTATAGCCACTCGATAAGGGTATGCTCTAAAGGCCAAAGGCCAGAAGCCGTACGCAGTCTCCATTTCAATCGCACTTAAACTTAAACTTCAACTTCAACTTCGACATCGACTCCGGCGGGCAATTGAAACGCTTTGGATTTGTGTGTTAATGGGGCTCGATCCGCGCCGATCCAGAGGGGATTTAAGCACTGCGGGGGAGTTCAAAGAAGGTGAGGGGAGTGGGAGGGGGGTGGGTGGGAAGTTTGGGTAGTGGGGGCTGCGTGCTCATTACGCTCGATAAATGCGGCCGGCCTCGGAGTGATTCGAACGTGTAACGGCTGGCGGAGAAGAAAGCGTTCCGCCAAAAAAGGGGCACAAAAAAGCGCAAGACAAACAAACTGCCAAATGAATCTCTTTGAGGTCAGCAATTGAATGTGCTCAATGGGCACATGGGCGCCCAGGGGGGCAACGCAATTAAGTTTTCTATCAGGTGGCGTGGGTGCCGGTGCCGCAGGTATGCGCATTGTTAATTTGTCAAAATGCAAATGCTCTTGCCAAATTGCTACGGCAATGTCACCCACGGGCGACGTTCAGAGAAAAGATACAGGCATCTGCACTGCACAGAATTCCATTTAAAAATATTTACTTATTGTATAATTCATACATTGAATAAAATCTGTCAGGGCTCGTATAAATTGTTCTAACCATAACTAACGAATGATAGAGAGACTTGAAGAATATTACTTACGTTAAAAAAATGTACAATATGAATATATATTGTACATTTTTTGAATGATTATTTTATATTTGCCCCACTTTATTTATTTCAATAACTTATTTTAATTTTATGTTTATGATATATTGTAATAATAATGATTATCTTAAATAATAATACTTTTTATTACTGAGTGCTTTTTTCTCCATTTCTTTAGTGTAAAGAAAAAGCGTAATCCAGGCAAGTGGGAATTGACATCTGTCCACGTCCAAGTCGAACCGAAAACCGAAATCAAACGGTGTTTGGCATTACTCTTTGGACGTCCAGTGCTTATCCGGCCATCAAGCGGAGTCGAAGTCCATCTGGGATCCAAGATCCAAAGACCGAGGCACTTGGATTTGGATTTGGGAGTGTCGCCCGCGGGGACTCGCCTCGAATTCCGCAGCGTAGACAAAGAAGTGTGCATGCCAATCCAGAAGAAAGATCCCAGAGACAGCAGGCCGAAAGCCAAAATGTTTACGTAATCCACTGGCGAATTATTTATGGGAATTATCATGCGTGTTGCATGATCAAGTCAAATGACTGTGTGCAGAACTTTTTGGCACCCAGAAAAAGCGAGGAATGCAATGCGAAGGAATGCTTCGAGAACTGTTCCAAGAAATGCAGAAGAAATGTTCTTTTTTGAGTTTAAGGCCATTTAAAATCGTATAATTAAAGCAAGACATGTTTGCCAACAAAGAATGGATATCCAACTTCTTTTAGAGTTGCTGATAGGCTTTTAATTTCTAAAAATTGAATGCTTATGATTTTAATTTAATTAATTTACTTAAGTAAATAATAATTAAAAAATTAGTTAGTTAGGTAGTAGATATTGTACCTATTTATTGTATTTAATTAACTTGCATTTGATTGTATTGTTATATCCTTATGAATGCCCTCACAAAAAAATAAATTGACTTTAAGCTCAACAGTTGAGCTTATGATAAATGTAATATACAAAACTTTAGGGCTGTCTGCCGCATTCCAAAACTTTGAAGTGTAGACTGGAAGCCTGACAAAAACTAATCCAAAATTATATAAAAATAGGGTGCTAGAACGTAAATAGATTTAATTAAGTTGCATATTCGAATTCAACCCGATTTACTAATTTGCATAAACTTAAACTTTTTTATCAGCTGTTTTCAGCGGTCTTAGCTGATACACGAACCGTAAAACAGCTGAAGCGCCAGAACTCTACAAACTCTCCGCGCGTTTTTTGTCGCGTTAACCAATACTTGCGTTGTCCGAACTTTGTGGCGCTCGGGAAAAATCGGAGGAAATTCATCCGAAGTGCCGGACCGTCGAGTGTCCTTTAAGGCAAAGGATGCTTCGAAATTTGCGCAGTTTGCGTGCGGTTTTCGGAGCAATAGGATGCAGCAGCAGCAGCAGTAAAACCAACGGCCGCCAAAGAAACAGCTTCAGCGGGTTAAATTCTAGAAAGGAGTTGTGAGTCAATAATCTCGCCTTCCTACAACCCACCCCCCTCGTCACCGTCCCCACCATCCCCACCACCCCCTCCTCATCCCTTATCCCACCCCCACCAAAAAAAAAGCCCCATGTGGGAACTTAGTAAATCATCCTGAAATTTGGCGCGTTTCTTGCGCGTTTTTAATGGTTGTTGTTGCCGCTATAAACACAATAACGAACTCAGTTGCGGTTTCTCTCGGTGCATTCCCGTTTCTAGTTTTTTTTTGCTCAATTTTTTGCAGTGTCCACAGTGCTTGAACAATTGAATACCAAATAAACTGAAATTAAGTGAATGGAAAAGCAAAGTATAAACAATTTAAAGTGACTTGAGGGAATCATAAATACAAAGAGGTGTGGAAAGTTCGCTGGTTTTTTTTGGGCTCTGCAAGGACCCTTGGATTACCTTGCGGGGCAACCGAAATCGGGAGGACTCCTTCGCCGGCGGTGAGTCTGAAAATTTAATAAACAAGTGCGCTTGGTGTTAAGTTATTAACCCCTCAGGGGATTCCTTTATTTTGTTTATTTAAATGGGAGGTGTTTTCATAAGAATTTGCTGTTTAGTGTTAAAAAGGTTTGTATATTTATGTATATTTCTTTTATAGTTATATTTATAATTACTGCAGACATAGAAAAGTTTTTAATTTCTAAAGTTTTAAAAGTGTTGCCATTTATACCTAAAAGGGTATTTCCTATTTTTTATTATGTGAATGAAAATATGTGAAAGCATTACGGTTTATTACATCCATTTATTCCATCAAATTTTATGGATTGTTTAATATAACTTTTTTTTAATATTACATTCGAACAGTAAACAATTATTTAATCTCCCCTTATCTGTGTGTTTATTTATTTGCGCAAATATTCTGGGTGTGCCGCATGTGTTTTTGCGCCAGTCACAAACAAATTTGAGATTTATATATTCGCCAAGTTGGCAAGTTTATTTTTTGTGTGTTTGTTTGGGCTTCGGCTTTTTTTTTTTGTGCCGCAAATTAAGGGAAAAGTTCGCTTTATATGGGGATGTATGGGGATTTGTGTATTTATAGATTTTCCTTCCATATCATTACGGCTGCCATTATCAACGCCTTTATTGCGCTTCCGGTTTTGTGCGGCGCCTCTTTTGTGCCCATTTGTTTTTCCACAGCCGCAAACTTTTCCCCCCCGTTTTCCCTCCTTCCATTTTGCGCCCTTTGATGTGCCACAATAGTTGCGAAATGAAGGGTCAAAGGTTGCTGCGGCGGTGCGATGATAAGCGACTTGTTACGATGACCATGATGATGAGCGAATTGAAGGCCTTTGTGCCCCATCCGCCCTGCGGTTTTTGGCCAACTCTCTATGCCATCCATCCCATCCATCCATTTTAAGAACCGGCCAAGCGAACCTTTTTTCGCAGCTCGGGACCAGAGCTGTGAAATCGAATCATTTTGTTGGCTTTATATTTAATTTGCATGGTCTCGTTGAAGGCGAACCACCGAAGGGTTCAAAGGGAAAGTCTTTACCTTCAATTTGAACTCTTTTCTGGCCCGAATTTCCGCAGCAGACTCTTTGGCCGGTTGGCCAAATTAAATAAGGGCAGCAGCAGCAACAGTTTTGCGGTGTTTTTCACAAGAAATGCTACCGGAAAGTATGCCACGAATTTCGGCAAAATATCTCTTTGGGGAGTTTGGGGCCAAACAATGGGGGTGTGGCTATGCGGAACTCACAAAAAACCGAAAGATTGCAGCTTGATTGATGATTGAGAACTCAACTAATGCTTTTGGGTGGAATGGAAGGGACTTTATTGAGTAAATTGGGTTGGCATAGATCTAAAGAATTCAGTGGATTGAGAAGCAGCTTAATCAAAATAGTTGTATTTCGGAAGGATACATGAAAATAGCTTCTGACATTCAAAATGAAGTTTTTAGTATTTTTTTTAAAGAATTCAAATTACTGCCCATTATATTTTTAATGTTTTTTTTTTTGTGGGAGCGTATTATGATAAACCATTTTCCAGTAAAGCATAAAATCCCATTAGATCGCAAACTAAACTTGAGGAAAACCGTGAGCATTAAATATTTCCCAAGAGAAATTCAAGGACGTTCGTCTTTTTCCCCCAGATTCATTTCCTCTTTTCTCTCCTTTATTTTCTCTTTATTATTCCACTTTCTTTTTATTGTTCCAGAGCTCGCATCTTGGCAACACTTTTCACTTCTTTCCTTTTCAATTTTCCTTTACCCGTTCGTATTTCTTTTGCTGTATTGCTGTTGCTTCATTAGTTTCATTGGATTCGCCATTGAGCAATGCAATGCAGCGGCAACAACAACAAGTTAAATTGTTGCTTCTGTCGATTGCGTTATTTCAAATTTCATTTCCATTCAGGATGCCTTGTAGCGACGGGAAAAAATAAACCGAAAGGAAAGGAAGAGAAGATCGAAGCAGGCTGCAACACGGAGATATTGCAGCTGCAGCAGCAATAAGAGGAAAACTAAGAGGCATAGAAACTCCGTCACTCCTTTTCACCCCAATTTTTTTGGGCAGTGCAACAATAACATTGGGCAGCGGTTGAAGCGGCGCTGCAGCCGCATAAAATGGCCGCAGCGACAACGATTGCAGCGGCAATAACAACACCAGCAACATGAGCGCAACCTGCAACAGCTGCAGCAGCAACATTCCGCGGCAACGCCGATAATAACAATGCTGATTATGATTTCGATGTTGATGATGATGCAGACGAAGACGCTGAAGCGGATGATGATGATGATGATGTTGATGACGACGTTGCCGAGCTGCAGTTTCAAGAGCCACAACACAACGCCAAGTGCCAACGAGAATTAAGTGCCAAAGGCAACCGCAACAGCAGTAACAGCAACAGCAGCAACAGCAGCAGCAACAGCAACACAGCAGCAACAGCGAAAAGATTTTTCGCCAGCCAAGCAGAATCAAAACTAAATTTACATAACAAAACACGAGCAGACAAAACAGAAGTGGAAATACCCTAGAAGAATCTCCATTTCTCAGAAGCGAAATCAAAAAACAAAAAAAAAGGAAGGGTAAAAGCAAAACAAGTAGAAAACCCGGCAGCAACATCAGCAGCTGCAACACCGCCGGCAGCAACATGTCGACTACACTGAGCGAAAGGGGGCGTGGCGCCTTCTGGGTGATGCTCCTGCTTGCCACCACATGGGGCGGCGGTGGCTGGGCGGCGCCCACAGTGAGTGGTGCAGCGGTGGTGGTGCAGAACAAGTCGCAATCGCACCACCATTACCACCATTTGGAAATCGGAGTGCAGGGCAATACGCCCACGCTGATGGAGGCGAGCACCACCAGGGGTGGAAAGCATGCACCACCGGTGACTACTAAGGCACCATCAATGCCCAGCAGCAGCAGCACCACCACCACAACCACCGAGTTGCCAAGAGCCACTGAGGAAAACCAGGCGGCTAAACAAGTGTCAACTTTAAAAACAGCTGAAATTGAAATATCTGCAATAAGTTCTACTGAAAGTAGCACCACTGAAGGTGGCTCCACTGAAAGGAGCACCACCGAAGGAAGTAATACTAGAGGAAGCACCACTGAAGGCAGCAGCACCACTGAAAGCAGTAGCACCACTGAAAGAAGCTCCGCAGAAAGGAGTTCTTTAATAACAAGTAGCTCCACTGAAAGTAGTGCCACTGAAAATATCCCCACTGAAAGTAGCACCACTGAGACTACCAGCACCACTGAAAAGCCAACAATAACCACTGAGACTCCGCTAAAATCTACTGAAATTAGCAGCACCACTGAAGCGACCGCTCCATCAAATCAAACAACAGCACCACCCAGTCGAGAAATCCACAAAGAATTGCTGCAGGTGGTGCAGCTTATAGATTTGGAGCTTACGGTGGCTCCGCCTTTGGACAGTGGTCACGATGGCCTCAAGTTGACCAAGAAGAAGCAGCTGCAGCAGCAGCACTTCCCCACCACCACCGTGGCCAGCACCACCATTGAAACGGAAGTGGAGCGGATACCCACCACCAGCAGCACCACTGTTTCCACTGCAAGTGCCAGTAGCAGCACCACTTCAACGGTGACAGAAAGTAGCACCACTTTATCAACTGATAAAGAAAGTAGCACCACCATTTCAAGTGAAACAGAAAGCAGCACCACCATTTCCACAGAGAGTGCAAGTAGCACCACCAGCAGATCACCACCACCCTTGCTGCCCGTTCACAATGGCTACTTGGGACCCATTTTCATGGGCGAGAAAACCTTCAGTGTGGTGCACCCGCTGAAGAAACCACAGCCCGCCAACCACCAGCATGTGGCTTCCATTGAGAGTCAATTGCGAAACGGACGACTGGTGGAGATTTTGGCACCCACTGCGCTGCTGGAGCAGATTTCCCAGACCAGCACCACCCATGCACCACCAGCTGGCTCCGCCTCGGTGCTCTCAACCACCGTTTTCCAAGTGCCCGAACTGCAGACCAGCACCACCCGCTTACCCACCAATAATAATAATAATAATAATAATAATAATAATAATGTTGGTGGCTTGGAGTTGCCTGGTCAACCACGCACGGAATCCAAGATATCGGATATCCAAATCGAAGTCTACGATTCTACAGTGGATTCCATAGTGGCTTCTACGAATTTCCGGGACAACGAGGGCTTCTATGCACCACCCCAGAGCCCCGTGGAGTTGGGCACCACCAAACCACCGCGTGAAATGCCACAGGAAAGATTCACCCAATACGTGATTGATCGCGCGGATGTGTCCACTCAGCCCGCCGGTGGTGCAGGTGGTGCAGGTGGTGCAACGGTGGGTAAACCCGAACCGGCGGCCATCGAGATCCACATAAATGTTTCCGAGGCTTTTGGCAGCGAAAGCGAGGATCTGGAATTCTCCTACAGGCAACCGGAAAAGCAGGGAAAACCCAGCGACGAAATCCTGGTGGTGGAGATAATCGACAGTGGTTCGGATAACAGCAGCTCCGAATCGGGTGGTTCGTCCTCCGCCAGTGGTGAGCACATCAATCCGATCTTCACCTTCCGCAATTCAGACGCCGCCGCTGCACCACCGCCACCCGTGCGACCACCACAATCGGTCCAGGATGCCGATGAGCTGTTTATGGCGGATCTGAAGGACGGCGGTGGTTCAGTGCCACGCCCACCGCCACCACCACCACCGCCGCCGCCGCGAAAGCCGAGCATCGATCGCGATTCGGATACCATATTCTATATATCGAACACCGAGGTGAAGGTGGGCGAGTCGCTGCCCACGGTGGTGCCGGTGGGTGAGCAGCAGCAGCGCAAGTTCCAGCTGGAGAACCAGTTCTTCCCCGCCAGCTACGTAATGGACCAGCACCACCAGCAGCAGCAGCAACAGCAGCCCGAAGAGGATATCATTCTGTCGCCAGTGCACCACAATTCGGATCCCATGAAGATATTCCGCAGTTCCTCCTCCTCCTCCTCTTCTTCTTCTTCGTCGAGTAGCAGTGGCGATGGCGCACCACCGCTGGACGTGACCTATGTGGGTGAGTCGGTGATCGAGGTGGAGCAGCAGCCGCAGGGTTGGAGCAGCACCGCTGCACCGCCGCAGCAGCAGCAGCAGGACATCATCATCCAACCGGCGGTGCTTCCGGACTTGGCCATTGGAGTTCCGGTCATTGGGGAGCTGCCACCACAGATCGAGCTGAAGGAGATCGACTATATGCCCGGTGAACTGGGATTGGGTCAGAGTGGAATCGGAATCTACGAGAACGACATCCAGAGCAACAGCATCGACAGCGAACCGGATGTGATCGAGAGCTCCATTCAGTATGGTGGTGATCTCATTGACGATGGAGCGGGCGGTGGCTTCGATGGCGTGGAGGGTTCGTATCCCTTCGAGAGTCCCTCGCACCGCCAGCTGCAGGTGGGTCGTGGGTTGAGCCACCAGCCGTACCACCCGAAGCCCAACCACCTGCACCGCGAACAGCTTCCGGTGGCCGAGATGGTCAACGCCACGCTGCTCCAGCGGTACGATGGTGGTTCCGGATCGGGATCAGGATCAGGATCTGGATCGGGATCAGGATCGGGATCAGGATCGGGATCGGGATCGGGATCTGCTTCAGCCATGGCTCCTCTGTTGGCCAGCGGAAGTGGCAGGAGCGGTAATGCCACCGCTCTCGCGGAGGATCCCCTCGGCGACTACGATGGTGAGTTGAAGTTAAAGGATCTTTTGGCTCGAATAAATATTTAATTGAATAATATAATTCCTTAAATGTTTTTTCTTATTCGCAGGCTTCTTCAATCTCTTTGCTGTTTCCATGGGTCTAATCATCGTCATTCTGCCCTCAGCCTTGCTGCTTTCCATGTACTGCGCTATCAAGTAAGTAACATTTATTTAGCAAAAAAAAGTTTTATATTTATATTATATGGAAATTATTAAAAGGAACGCGTAGCCAAAGAGCGAAGGAATATAGAAACTATTGTAGGAAAGCGACTTCAACTCACATAGACAAATATTACACTGAGTAGGATTGTTGTCTTCCATAAAAAAAAAAACAAGAAAATAATAGCTATTAAATATAAGGTTTCTACATAAATCGGATAACAGATTTTAAATGGCTTAGGAAAAACTAAATTAAATTACAGTTTACTTTTGGTTATTTAAGTATTGTGAAAAATATATTTCATTGAGTAGGTTAGTAAATTCTGACAATAAATTAAAAGAAAACAAATTTTAGTGCAAGTTATAAAGTCAAATTAAATTTATTTACCAACAAGAAATGGTTGGAAGAAGAGCAACCGTGACCCGTGGAACAACGAAATGTCAGAACTGCCTCCGATTGTTATCGAAGTCCCCTTGAATTGAAGACCAGACCGTCTTCAAACTCAACCCCTCCCCTTCGCAAGTGGGAAAATTGGCATGCTTTGGGGCCAACTGTACCCAGACAGTACGCTCCCTTATCCTTTGCTCCTTAGCCATTTGGCTCAGCTAATTGGTTACGCCTCGTGTGGCGCTTAATCAGCTTAGACGGCAATGTCCCACACAAATCAAAAATAATTGCAAGAAATTGCCAGCGAACACTGACAGCGGTACAAAGAAGGGGGCTAAAACGGAGGAAAGGGGGGAGGGGGGGATGAGCTGGGTGAAAGCCACCTTAAAATAGAAAGACAGCAGATGTGGAAGGGGGTGAAGAGTGGTTTGAGTGGCAGGCAACCCTAATCCTCAGCCGCCAGTGGAAACGCCTGTGCTTTAAAGCCTCTATTTTAAGGATTCCCCATGGCGAAATTCGTTGCCTACTTTGAGGCGAAGAAGCGGGCGCGCGAGATCTACGCATTTGGCGAAAGAATGCACTCAATCTAAAGCAATTTGCCGGGGCAACCACCTGACCTCCGGAATCCGGAAACCTTAACCCACCATTACCAGCAGCCAGCAGCCCAGCAACCACCATTCACCCACCATTCACCGCCCATCGCTGCAGGCGAGGCGTGGCAAATCGCATTTATCAGCTTCATTCGTGGCGTTTTATTTCTCATTCGGATTGCCAGCGACAGACAGCAGAACAGCAACAAAACATTGACAAATCTCTGACGGAGAGTTTGTTGCCGCCTGGTTGGAGGTTCAGTGGGTGGTTCAGCGGGTGGTTCGGTGGGTGGTTCGGTGGGTGGTTCGGTGGGTGGTTCGGTGGGTGGTTCGGTGGGTAATTTGAGAGCGGTGCCAGGGACGCACATCCTTTATCGCCCGCAGTCTGGCCCATACATAAATCTTGGGCACGCCACGAATTGGGTTGAAAGCTGTTGGCGAAGCTGCTGGTTCTCGAGATGTGGATTTATATATAAATACGTGTACAAGCACAGCGACAAAAATAATGAAAACAGAGTTTCTTTTAATTCTTAGTCCCCTTGTTACCTTATTTCCACTTTAGAGGCAATATTATTTAAAATTATCAAAAATATAAGTTGGGGCTTAACTTTCATTTTTTTTGTGTAACACTTTAAATATTTAAAAACAACAGTTTTTTTTCTTAATTATTATTTTCACAAAAACTCGTAAGGCTTAATTAAATTTTATTTTCACTAATATAAATATTAATTTTAAATATATATTTTTATAATATAACATTCTGTTTTATCTTTAGGGCTTATGTTCTGTACATTTATTTTGAAATTTGTGTGCTTGTCAACAGACTGTGTTATTTTAAAGTGACATGGTTTTTATGGCAGTGCACCCATATATTCGCTGGGCACTAAATGCCAAACAAAATGAAGTCGGTGGGTGGTGGAAGGTGAGGAGGGGGTGAAAGCGGGCAACTGGGGAGTGTCGGGTTGATGGGAAGCTGAGAGCAGAGAAAACTGAAGGCGCAACAAATCAACGCGGCGGAATCGAGAATCGGCGCTGCCGGAAACGGAAGTCGCCGCACGCACACACACACATTGGCACACACGCAGAGTGGCACATCCAATGCCACATCCTCGTCCTCGTCCTCATCCTCATCCACGCAGATGATGTAGATGCCAGGAGCTAACAAGGCAGCTGCTTTTGGAAAAGGTGATCCCGACGCCCCGCTCATTTCGCCCCCAAAGATTTTCCCGCTTTTCGTGCCGCAGGAAAAACGCATAAAGCGGCAAATGGCAACCGCAAACGTTGCCAGTTTGTTGCCCAACCTTGTTTTTCCCCCCGCTCGCTCTTTTCCCCCTCCCCCTTCCATAAAACCCAGAAGAAGCTGAAGAAGAAGCAGAAGGTGCCGTGAAAAGCCAGCGTCAAAATAAAAGGAAACACACAATTTATTTGCCTTATTCCCTTCTGCCGGCCAGGACATTGCGGCTGCTTATGTGTGTGTGTGTGTGTGTGTGTGTGTGTGTGTGTGCTTGTATATGTGTGAGTGTGTTGATGTCTGGAAGGAAATTGCACAATAAACTCTTGAGACGAGAAATTAGTTGTGCGTGTGGCTCGTTTCGGCGGCTTCGCAACTTGAAATTTGTTGAGTGCCAATAGCATTACGAGAGCGCCAAAAGGCCCCTTTATTTTTTTTGTTTTTTTTTTCACTTGTTTTTTTTTTGGCAAGGCTCAACCCACAATGGGATTCTCTCGGGAACAAAAGTATGGCCAGATACTCACGCACTCGCCCACGGAACTTTCCCCCGGAAAGTCCTAATATTTATGAAGCTTGCGTTGCCAACTTGAGGAATTTCTGTGCGACTGGCATTAGAGGATTACTTCTGACCTTAAAAATTTGGAGTGGTTTATTTTTCAAGGGGAAACTTGGCCATTTCGGTGTAAACTGGACTGCAATTAGGTGGAATAAAAGTTTCGGCTTTTAAGTAGCATTAAAAAACAATTTTAAAATGTTTTGAAGGGAATAGTTTCAATAGTAAATATAAGTTTGGGTAATTGTTTATTTTGGATAGTATTTACGAGCTTAAACAAAATAAGTGTAATACTATTTTAAGATACTGAGGCAAATAAATTTAAATTAAGGCCTAGGCAGAGAAAGAAATTACAAAGTTAAACAAAGTAATTTTATTTATTTATTCAGATTTTACACCAATAAGTTAAAAGTTTATATAAAGATTTCTAGGACAGCGTAGCTTTCCACAACTCAATCTTTGATGGGAGTGATTATTAAATTCAAGTTTTCCCGTTCAAGTGCGTAGATTTTCGTAATCTGGCTTAGGGGAGAAGCCCTTTTCTTAAAGCCTTTCTTCTAACCGCTTATGAAGTCGGCGTAGGTAATTGCAGGCAGCCACAAAGTAGGCAACAAAATGTTAATTTGCGTCGCGGCATCATTAGAAATGCATTGGATTTTGAAAACTCGGAGCTGCGCGGCGCCAAAAAGCTGCGGCAAGACTTCGACTGCTTAACAACTTTGGCGCCTTTGGCTCAAAGACACTCCATCTCGTTTTCGCACTAACCCCGTCTCTTTTTCTCTTTATCTCTCTCTTCCTTTCTGCTGTGCCACCTATTTTTGCAGGTACGTCATGGGCAAAAACGCAGGATCGGGAGCGGGTGGCGCCCAAGGCGATGACAGCGAACAGGGCCAGGATTCCAAGCACGAGGTGAGTTCATAGCGAAAAGCTGAATGGGGGAAGGTACCCCACACCCTCCACCTCCCCCTTCCCCTCCACCTCCACCTCCCCCTCTTTATTACACGCCCCAAACCATCCGAAGCTCCAACATTCAGAATCCACCATCCATCTGCATCTGCATCTGCCCATCCCATCCAGAATCCTCTGCTTCGCCTGATGGAAATTGAAATTTAAACGCAAGTGCCATCAGAGAGTGTCTTCAACTGTTCGCTTTTCCTCCCCACTTTCCCCCCATTTCCCCGCATTTCCCCCGCCTTTTGGATGCACTCGTCTGCTGCTGCACTTGCTCTCGAGCTCTCGACAAAATTAAACAATGGCGGAAATTTCCGCTGGAAATTTTATTGCGTTCCCGCTGAAACTGAGTGTTGAAAGGCCAAAATTAAAGATGATACTGCGGTTGCCAGCGAATGGAAGGGTCCATAAAAAACTGATGGCTTAAACTGAGGGTTATCCATTCAAAGAGGGTGCCATTTATTCCTTCTCTGCTTTAAAAACCGAAGCTTTCGGATTTCATTCATCAATGATTTGCAAAGGTGTTTAATGAGAGTAGGATTTCTGGAGCGAAATCAGCAAGCAACTGGCCATTAGCTAATTAAATTTGCTTTGATTTTAAAGCAAACATCTAATAAGCTACGATTCACGTTTGTTTAATTACTACTTTAATGGCTATAGTCAGGTTTTATTTAGTATTCAATTATATAAATAGTTTTTAGATATTACGTTAAGCCACAAAAAAGAAAACAGGACATGTATTAAATGTTGTTTGATTGATTCAAGTTGATTTATTCTTAAAATTTCTCCTCAACAATGAAATGGCAAATTATTAACTGAAAGTTTATTAATTGTAAACGAAATTTTCTTTGTTTGATGTATGTATATCTTAAAAGTGAAAATATTATTTGGTTGCGGCACATTTTTGGACACACTTTTTGAAACCAAGATGTAGGTTGAACTGCATGCAGTTTCCTTGCAGCAAAAGTTCAAAAACGAATTTAAACTTCGGGACAAGTACAAATGACAGAAGTTGCGTCTTAAAGTTCTGGCCAAAGGTTAGGGTTCATATTAAAATGGAGCTCGAGTCGGGTCGACTTGGAACAGGAATGAACCGAAATGAATTCCCTTGGCTGGTAATGAAATTTCCATGGCCTTTGATGGTGTGCGTGCGGCCAAAGGGAATGTGTGAAAGAAGTGGAGTGGGTAGGTGCGCGTGTGTGTGTGTGTGTGCGTGAATTGCATTCCAGTTAAGTTTAGAGCCTGCCTTCTCTCTCTCTCTCCCCTCCCCTCCCCTCTTTGTTTCTGTCTCTCTCTCTCTCTCCCCATCTCTGTCTTTCTCACTGTTCGCCTCTTGCAGTCAGAATCGTCGTCATTCTCATCATTTGGCTCGGCATTTGCATCCGCCAGCGCCACTATTTGCACCTTGCCACGCCCCTGCCCCTGCCCCCGAAATTGCCACCACCCCCGGCCCCGTCCGCGCCAAAATCCACGGCGGGTGAATCACCAACAACACCATAAACACCAGCAACACCACCACCCACCGCCCACTCGGGCGAAGGCGAGTCAAGGCCATTTGGTGTCGCCTGGCTTGGAGTGCCTCGAGTTCCGTTTCGAGGGGGCGGAGGGGGTGGTGCAGCAGAAGCACGCGGGTGGTGGTGGTACAGGTGGTACAGGTGGTACAGGTGGTACAGGTGGTAGTGGTGGTGGTGTAGCAGGCACTGCTCCCTGCGGCTCCGTCACCAAGATGACGCTCAAAGATAATCATCTGATTGTTGTCACCGAGGAGCGGCACGTAAGTTCGTTAGCCATCCGATCGGATCATCCGTCGTCCTTTTTGCCCGCCTCTCTTTTGGCCACTTCTGGCCAGGATTCTAGATGTCTTTCCATCTTTTTTTGTCACTCTCACTCTCTCTCTGTCTCGCTCTCTCTTTGTCTTTTGTCCACTTGGAAGAGGGATATTCGTGTGCCTGGTTGTTGTCGTAGTTAGTTTGCTGTGCTTGGTGCCTGTCTATCCCATCATCTCTGCATTGGCCCACACTCAACCTCCGTAAATTCGCGGCAATCTTGGCGACTTTCTTCCCATTCTGATTGACTATATATATATGGTATTCTGTATGAATCGATTGCATCCAACAAAGTAATTTTATACACCTAGAAGACTTTTCTGACTATAAAATGCACAGATTTATTATGTGATTTTAATTTTTATGTGGATGGGTTATTGGTTCTTAACAGATTTTATTGTACTCCAACTTCATCTGAAACTATTTCCTTACCTACCTCCTTACTTATCCCATTACCTACCCCCTTACTTACCATTATTGCGATGTTTTACCAAGACAAATGTTGTACTTTACTGTCCCCTGAAGCTGGCAGTGATTGAGTTATTAAACCATTGTCTTCTAAATCTTAAGTTTTGGTTAGTATTTGACTCACCTTGAGTTTCTGCACTCGGCAGTTTCTGTTTGTGAACTCTTTGTGTTTAAGTGAGTAGTTTATTTGCCGCACTCTGGCCCCCTGACACTTTGGGGGGTGGCAAGCGCCCACTTGTTCATTTGCCCTGGCCTTGAATGTCCTTGGGCTGTGGTCCTGGCACATCAATGGCCACCTGCGGGCCATGAGACAGCGAACGAGGACCGAATTCGAGTCCGAACAACAGCCCGTTGTCGTCTATTTGTCAACTTAAGTGAGCCTGTGTTTGTGTTTCCATATGTGAGTGTGTGTGTGTATGAGCCAGTGTGTATGTGTATCCTTGTGATGGTGGATCCTTGGGGCGCTTGTGTGCCACAAGCATATGCAAATGCAATTTTCGACACTTTCCGCATGGCAGCCAACCGATTTGTCCGCTCTGTCGCCCCACTCCACTTCGTTTTCCCGCATCCTTTCACCACTTTCTCCACTTTCCCCTCCTCCGCTGCTCCGCTGCTCCACTGCTACACTGCTACACTTCTCCACTCCTCCTCGTATGCTCCTTGATGTTGTTGCTGACTGTGTGTGTGTGTGTGTTGTCTGTGAGAAGCCTGCACCTTCTAAATTTTATGCCTGGCAAACTGACCATCTGCACATCGATTTCAATGGGTCTTGATCTCCTTGTTCGCAGGACATTTCGCGAAATGCCCGAGAAACGAAAATGCACACGGACAAGGATGGGGTCTTTGTGGTCGAGGTGGCCCGTGGCATCGATTCGAAGCAGCTGGCCGGAGATCACGCTGGCGTGGCACTGGACTCAACCGAACTGCCCTTCGACAACAAAATGGCGCCCAATGGGGGCATTTGCTAGAGAAGAGTCTGCCGCCCAGCCACGAACAGGTGCAGATCCACGCACCACCGCAGGACTTTGCCGCCGGTCATCCTGCACCACTTCACCTCATCGAGGAGGCCGAGGAGCACGTGACCGAGGATCTTGGCCAGCAAACCAATGAAGCCCCCTCGAATCCTGCTCAAACTGGCCTTTCGCAATCGGATCTTAGTTCGACTTCGTCGGGGGACTCAAATAAGCGATACTCGTACGGCAACCAGGAACTTTACGTCATTGAACAGCCGGGCTATGCCACCAGTTCGCCCACAGCTAAGCCAATTCTGCTGAGTCCCGATCAAAATGAGGGAAAAGAATTTGAGCAAAAGAATCAGGGTTTGGGTAGTCCCGAACAAACTGAGAAGAATTCAAGCCAGGACTCCAAGAAATTGGACGAAGAAGTTGGTAAGCCAGCAGAGATGTTACCAACAGAAGTATCTGAGGTTTTACCAGAGAAAAAATCTGAAATGGAAGTGGAGCCTACACCCAAAACTGAAGTGAAAGTGGAAGCTCTTCCTCCAAAAGATGAAGTTAATCCACCAAAAGAGGAAGTTGTTCTACCAAAAGAGGAGGTTCTTCCACCAAAAGAGGAAGTTCTTCCCACAAATGAGGAAGTTCCTCCCCCAAAAGAGGAGATCCCACCACCAAAAGAGGAGATCCCACCCCCCACAGTAGAAATTTCGCCACCAAAGGAAGAACAACTTCAGATTGATAACCAACCCGAAAAAGATCTAGATGAAAAAGAGCTAGACAACCAAGTTGAATCAAAATCAAAGGAGGAACTACAAATGGATTCCGCACCAGAACCAGTTGAGTCCCACACCGAAAAGGACACCGAACAACCGACCGAATCCCAGCCAGAAGTTGAGATTCAAGACGAACCGGAGGCGGAGAGCAACTACGACAGTCTGATGAGCCTGCCGGCGCCTCCTTCCACGGAGGAGATCAAGGAGCTCGGCGACTACGCGCTGATGGAGTCCAACCAGTTGGACAGCCTGCCGCCGCCACCGCCGCCGCTCCTGGAAGCCACCACCGGTGCACCACCAGCACCACCATCACCACCAGTCATCGTTTCGAATGGCAATGGCAATGGGCAGATCGTCAAGGTCACCGGGGTAACCGGGGTGACCGGGGTGACCTCACCGAGCGGTGATGAGGAGCCGGCCACCCTGACACCCCCCGCCTCGCCGCCCGCCTCACCACCGCCGCCCTCCCAGACATCGACGCAGTATGGCAGCAATGGCTTGACCAACGGCATCCATCCCATGGCCGTCGTCGATGTGAACGGCAGTTAAGAAAGGCCAGGTAAGCACGCCGGGTTAAGCAGCGGCTCCAGATCTCCATCTGGCCATCTGGGCTTTTTTTTCATCGGATCTCATAGAGATCCAACGGGATAACTGACTATCCCATGGAGAAAACTAGCTTGTAAGGATTACTAGGAGTACTGACCCCCCTAAAAAAAAAAAAAAAAAAAAATAAGATGAAACTGTGGCAAAACTTAAATTTAAATATACACTAAATAGAGCGAAACTTTTTCCACTTACTGTTTGTTGATTTTCAAATATAACGAGTAATAACAATTAAATGCGATTAATATAAATAAATCATAATTAATTGTTTGTCTATTTGCAACTGGCAGCCTCTCTTCTCCTCTCTCCCCCCTTGTACCACCCTTTTACCGCCCTTTACCACCCCTTTTTCAACCACCCACCAACCACCTAGCATCCACCATCTACCACCCATCTCTCCTTTCAGCGGGGGAGGTGCGGCTAACGAGTATTTCAATGTCTATAACTACAGTACAGTAAAGCAGAATAACAAAAACCAAAAGCCAAAAAACAACAAAAAAATAAATTGAAAAAGCAAATACGATAGAATCTGCATGCGAACTACATATAAAATAAAGTGAAATGAAGTGAGCGCGATGCAGAGGCAAACCAAAAAAGAGAGGGCGAGGTGCGCAAAAAGAGTAACTACCGATATGTAACGATGCATAATTAATTAGGCTAATTATTTACACACACAACAATGCCAAAACCAGAAAAAGAATTACAAAAACATAAAATATAAAGTAATGCGGAGCGAGCAGCAGAAACCGCAGAAAGGGCATCATTGTAATGAGATTATTTGGTTTTGATTGGCAAGTTCATGGACAGCCAATAACATCAACATCAAAGTGTGTCCTGTGTCCGGATCCCATTTTGAGGTTTGGAGTATAGGGCTTTAATTAGCTGAATCCGGAAGGAAGTCCGTGTTGGTTTCAAGAGCATCAATTGCCTTTTAGGGAGATTATATTGAAATGGATTTCCGATTTAATCGGGTTGGTTTTAACTCACCATAATCAAGCCCTTCCGTTATTGCATAAACATAAACAAATAAATGTCAGCGAAATAATCATTATCCACTTACTCGATTTTAATTTACAATTTCCAGTTCAGGAGGTTAAATATATAGAGGAGGCTATCGATTCCGGACAAAGAACACACCCGAATATCGTTAATATTTCGATATTAGTGTTTCGAAACTCACACAAACAATTCACATGACAAAATCAAATGTGCCGAACTTTTGTAGCAAGCCAACACAATTTACAAAGAGAAACGAACAATTTATACAATGCCAATATGGTGATTACAGCAGAATATATATGTAACCTTTTAAACGATAAAACCAGAATAGTTTTAGTCCTAGTCGATACATATATAGTCGATATATATATGTGTATGTATATTTTTTTCGTGTGTGTGTATGGAGAATTTAGACGAAAAATGGGGACTTCAACTCCAAGCAAATGAGAACTAAATGGCTAACGATAGACATAAGTGAATTGGCAAACTAGACGAATGCAGATCGGTATATTTGCCCCACATTAATGGTATACACACATATATACATCATTGATAAAATATAGAAAAACAGAACCTTAACTCTTTGAAAACCAAAAAAAACTCTTAGAAGTAAAGCCAAAACCAGACGGAATAATAAAAATAAAGCCGAGATCCGTGCACTGCAAGTGGCGCGTTATAGTGTAAGTAGTAGGAATTATCTATGCCCCGGAATATAGTGACGGGGTCGTTTATATATAGGTGGAACATAATCCCTGGCTAACGATTAACCACTTTTGTTGTTTACGTTTGTTCCAATTGTTTTATTGACAATTAAACCCGGTGGTCAAGCAAAGGATGCCAACGAGAAAATATTATGAATATTATAAATGAATAACCCGAAAAAAGGAAACTACTCGTAAATCAAATATAAAAGTTAGGAAGAGCGTGCAGAATTTTTTTTTGGGTCGAACGAAAACAAAAGAAATAAGTAAATGTGATTGTTATTTAACCTTAAGTTATTATTAAAAAAGAAAAAAAAACCTAACTTAAAATGATATGTGTGTGTGTGCGTTTAAGAAAGTAGATGGCCAAACGAAATGAAATAAAGCGAAATGAAACGAAACGAATGGCAATGGAACGCTCAAAAGCAAGGCAAGCGATAAGCGAGCGATAAACGATTAACGATTACCGATTAACGATAGCTGGCAACTAGGCGGGAGCAGGCTAAAAAGAAAAGCGGGAACTTACCCGAAAATAAATGAGAATCCAATATTAAGAACGATTGCAACCGAAACCAAAATGAGAAATACACACGAACAGCAAAGTCAAGCGATTGCATTTTTCCCTGGGCGGGGGCTCTTTACCAGTTTACCAGTTTACCAGTTCGCCAGTTTGGCATTTTGGAATTTTTTAATTTTGTGTGCTCCAGACTCCATCGATTTGCGGGCTGCCATAAAATCGAACAGAGCGGAGCCACTCAGGCGATTCGGTTCGGTTAAAGACCCATAAAGCGCAAGGATCCCCAACTATGGCTGCAATGTGTGCGCAAAGGACGAGCTGCAAAACGGGAGCGCTTGCAAGGAGCAATGGAGCGGAAGCTCCAAGCAGGATGGTCCGAAGGATGGGGTTTAGTAGGGGCGTCTGGCGTGGCAGTCGGAATTGCAGCCGGCACTTGGCCGGACGTTTTGAATTTCAACTGAGCCAAAAGGCTACAGTAGTCACCTACACCCCGCAAGAGCATGCAATGCTACCCTGTAGACTGGATATGGATATGGTATCCAGATTGGATTTCTTGTGATTCTGTAGCTTCTCCAACTTTGATTTGAAAAACTGCAAGAAAAGCTATGGAGGTAAAGAAAATATTTGTAATTTATCACAACAGATGAGACACAAAATAAGGTAAGGTATTATGATAAACATCTTTACAATTATTAAAAATATTTTTTTATTAAACATACAATAATTTTGATCTACAATTGATTTCAAATTATAAAATTAAGTGCTTACGCAGACTTATATTTAAACAAAACACATATTTTATTACTCTGCTATTTAAACATAAACATATCCACATTTTCAGTTTATTCTGTTTGCCAAGGAATTTAAGGCTACTTTACCTTCTTTTATACTTAGTGAGATAATATGCACTGGCTGCTAATTTTCCAGTTAAATTAAATTTCCCACAGTATCCAGCCGACGATTCCCATTCCTTTTCCTATTTTCCCCGGCTTCGTTTCCACTTAATTGCGGAGCAGCTCATGTTGTCTGCTCGTTTCGTTCGGGCTTTAACTTTTTTACTAATTTTAAATGGCGCTTCCGCTGGCCGAGGGTCCTTCGAAGGATGTGGAGTGAAGTGGAGCGCCGAAGTGGTGGAGTGGTGCGGAAGGAGGGTCGGTGGTGCCGATGGTGCCTGGGTGGCTCTTGTTGTCGAGTGCTGTCCTCCTGTGTGTGCTCGAAAGTTGAGTCGACTTGAAATTTTAATGAAATGCGCTGCTCCTCTCGGGCTCCATCCACATTTACTTCAACGTCTATGTCTATGTCTATGACTTCGGGGTTTTATACTATTTTTTTGGGGGGCCCTGTGGCTCCTGACTTCCAGTTACCGATTCCACCGGAAAACCCAACTCACCCGTCTGCATTTCAAATTATTTTTATATCTTTGCAAAAGGTAGTATAATTTCAGTCAGAAGTTTGCAACGCACTCAAGGAGATCTATATATATTGTTGATCAGCATCTCGATCTGATTTAAACTAGACGTTTACGTCTGTCCGTCTTTCGGTCAGTCCGTCTTTCAAAATTTTCAAAAAATGAGTTTGCTAAATAGTGACCAAAATTCACAAAAAAATGGGTATGCTCAAATTAACAAAAAATGCACTATTTCTATGTCCATAACGTTTCTTATTTTACCTGTTTTTAAAGTGGAATGCCTCTTAAGGTAATTTTGTTTCACTGTAATAAAACTTTGAATAAAATTTCATGAAAATCGGACGACTGTTTCATATAGCTGTCATAGAAAATATGGAAAAATATATAGAAAAATCGTCGTTACTTCAATGTTGTTTAGCCTTTATGCATTTTTCTCGTCATTTGTGATGACTGCAAGGGTATATAAGCTTCGGCTCGACGAAGCTAGCTTTCTTTATTTTTAATTGTCATTTCTGCGGCTCGGTCGTGGCGAAGGCTTCTCATTTTCGGGGCCTGTCAAAGGCACAAGGCCTTTGGTCCAATGGCTTTTGCCTCGGCGGCCATTGGCGCATTTGCGGCAATCAAAATATTTATGCCATGGACAGTTGATTAACCGCAAACTGGCAAACTGGCAAAATGGGGCTGCTGCTGGTTGGTTGGGCCCTCGTTCATAATTAAAATCAAATTAACCCACACACAAAAGAGTCGCCCGGTGGTGGCACCACCATCACCACCACCGCGTTTGTGGTTCGTTTGGGCTTAAAAACAGGGCTAGATGTGCGCTATCGGCATAATTTCACATTTCGGTTAGCATTATGCAATTTGCCCGTTCCCGTTCGGCTCTCCCGCTTTCATTTCCATTTCCAAACCCGTTTCCGCATCCGCATCCGTTCCATTGCCACACCGTTCTTACCGCCGTCCCATCGAACCTGCAATCAGTGCAATCGACGGAGTGGATACAATTTATTCTGGCCGCAGGGCGGCCCAAAATGAAATTGACATTTTGCCGGGCCGAAACCAAAGTCATTTACCCCCCGCAACCGCCGACGTCATTATCCATCCCCCTCCCCCTTTCCCCTGGAACGACTGGAAACGGGAATGGGGGGAATAAAAGGGGATAAAACCAGGAGGACCATTGCAATTCCAGCTAGGACACAGATCATTAATCAAACAACTGCACAACTGACAAATAGATTTGGCGGCTAAAAGGTAGCGATTCCACATCGAATTCTATTTACCCACAAATAATGCTGTGAAGCAGAGGAAAAGGATTTCAAAAAAAAAATAAGGACAGTAATAAAGTAATAAATTCATCAATTTAGGGAAAATGAAATCAATTAAAAGAAAAAAGTAGAATGGAGTCCAATAAAATATAAAAGGAAACAAAGTATAAAAAGTGTTACAAATTTAAATGAAAAAAAGAATGCCCCAATTTCCGATCGAAAGCCAAAAACCGGTTGCAAAAACTTTATTGAAATTCCGTTAATAATTCGATCACTTGTCATATTTTTTTCCTTACAAGTATAAATCAATTTACTAATTAAACCGATTGCATACGACCCCTTTTTTTCTTTGTCGAACTACACACCCATGGCCAAAAAAATAAATGCATTTCGAGTGCGCTTAAATTAATGAAATTAGTGCGACAGATTGATTTTTGGCACGTTGCACTGATTGATTGACTGAGTGACTGATTGATGGGCACATGCTTGAAACAACTTTTGTACGATTTATGGGCCACTGGCCATCGCATCGCTTTATGACTATTAAGCATAATTGAATTTAATTTGTTACATCCTAAAAAACGTATGTACATCGTATACTCGTCTATATACGTATATCATGGCCCATTGATTCGGCAATCTGTGTAAAGACTTGCCTAATGGATTTCGAGGAATTATCTGTACCGAGACTCATCTCGAATTTATACGCTCCGATATGTTAAGCTATTGATTCAATTAATTTTTATAAATAAAAAAGCCGGCAAACAAATTGCTTCAAGAGCGGCGACTTTTGCAACATAGGAAAAAAGAAACGAGCTAAATAAAATAAATCAAAATAGGTCGACGATGCGTGGCCAGAAATTTAATTGATTCAAACAATTCAAACGATTTGCACATTAAAAACTCCGCTCTCGGCCGTTTCGGCCATGGCCGGCAAATCAAATTGAAATGCCAATTGAATGGGCTGTGGATCCGTGGACCAGGTTTCCACAGCCCAAAAACTGCCGGGCATGAATTTAATTTTGATTTTTATTTGGATTTTTATTTGGTTTTAAAACGACGAACGATTTAATTGAATTGCTCACGGACCGGTCACCGAAAATTTTCCTCCACTTCCCTTCTTCTCTTTTCCGTATAATATGCAAAAAAGGGGGTGTTGAAGAGGGGGAGGGGGTGGTGTGGCGGTGCTAATTTCATCGCCGGCCACGTTCCCTCCGGCCAAAAATCAAATTGAGCGGAGGGGAGAACCGGAAACGCAAAGGGACCAAGGGTCAAATTCGTAGGTTTGCCTTTTTCATGTAGCCGCAAATTGAACACGCCGGATGCGAACTATTCAAGTATATATATATAGTACTCCAATATACATATTTAAAGTGCGTCTCATATGCCTTTTGTGTAGCCATTAAAGCGGACTTTAAGTGCCATCCTTAAAGGCATCGGTCGTTGGTGAAGCCAAGTGTCCACTTCCGTCAAATGGAAATCTCAATTTAAAGTTATTCGCTCAACCGCTGCATCTTCGTGTTGATTTGTCTAATTAAAATGGTTCGCTCGAGTGGAAACTTGAGAACATATCCTCTGTCCGGTGAACATATGCAAATACACATCATTTCGGCAATTGTCTATTTGCTCTGCTCAATGAGGTGTAAGAACGTGGTGAGCTGGGGATTTAAGTTTGAAAAGAAAAACATTGTGGCAATAATAACTAATGGAAACTCGGCGAATTAACAGCTGAAAATCAAATAGAGACAACATAAGCTCTTCATTTGAATAAATATCTCGTGCTGGAAAAGCAATATTTGATTCAATGAGAACGCAATCACGACAGTGCATAAAACAATAATTGTGGCTTAATTTTATTTGGAAAACTTGCTCAAAGAATTCCATTAGATTTAAAGCATTAATTCTTTTGTGGGATTTTAAATGGATTGTATAACTGAAAGACAGAAAAGATACTGTGTGTACAGGAAACCAAATTCACGAAAATCAATCAATTTGAAAACCATTCAGCTGATGTCTTGACATGGTAAATTTAATTATTTAAAGCTATTTTTAGATGAGGAACCAAGTTAAGTAATTAATCAAGTACCTTCAAATCCGAGTGCCATCTGATGTGCCCGTACATCCCACATATTACTTAACAACTTGAGGGACAGGAACACAACGCACCAGCTGCTCCTCTTCGATCCAAAAAAAAAAAAAAAAAAAAAAAAATTGGAAAGAAAGGGGAGGAAATAAAGAAGAGTGCGTTGCGTATGTCCTTTGTCATTTATCATTTGCCATGGCCCGGCGACTGAGAATCCTTTTTGCACTCGTCGTCCTGCGTTTTTCGTCCTTATTCCATGTTTGTGGATGCGGGTCAACGAAACGGGCGCAGTGTCACTGCACTGGCCACGCCCTCAGTTGCACATTCAAGCCAAGGCACACATGTCCATCCCCCCTCCCCCCTCCCCCTTTAACCCCCCACATAACTCCCCCTATATCCCCACTATATGTCCCCCAGTTGTTCCCCCAACCAATCCGCTCAAACAACAAGCTATATTACCCTGTTCACACAGCCCCTTCCCTTGTTGTTTAATCGAAACCTTCTGTCATTTTCTTGTCGCTGTTTGTTTGCCTCTTGTTGTTCCTTTTTTTGCGACTCTTCCCCACTTTTTTGTTGTTGTTGTTTTTGTTGTTGTTACTGCGTTTTTATAACTGCTTGATGGCTACAGGGTAAACGTTACGTATACGACTAGTTGCCCATGTGTTTCGCAGTGCTTCGATTTGAGTTGCAGCAGAGTGGCCATTGTAGCTCATCGAAGACCAATCAAAATCGAAAAACTGATAAATACACAAAAATATCTGCAGGCTAAATAATGTAGTCAGTTTTATTTGTTGGCCAGAAGCGAAAATAACCAAAGAAAATACAGCAGATATAGCTAACAAGCTGGAATTGCTTAGAAGTTAATAAAAAAAAGGAAATTGCTGCTATAAGATTGCAGTAATTGGCGAAATCTCTAACTAGAGAACAAGTACCAATTTAAAATATAATCAAATTAAACTGATTTCATCCCCCGCACTTTGTTTCTTATTATTTCCCTAATTTTCTATGGGGTATCAGTAATCCCGTCATCATTGACTTCACACGTTCCCTTGTTTTGTATTCATTTTCAGTTTGTTTTTAATGCCAACGCTGGGCATTATAGCATCGTGACCAGCGTGGCGTATACGCAATGTGCGGAGACCAAAGCACTTTGCCCCATTCTCCACCTGATTGTTGTTGTACGCTTTGTTATTGTTGTTGTTATTATTACTGTTCCTGTTGTTGTTGTTGTTGTTGTAGCTGCTGTCGCTGTGTTTTTGTCAGTATTGTTGCCTTAATGCACCAAAAAATGTCACAACAAGCCCAAAAATGAGAAAAAACGGTAGCCAAGAGTTTGGAGGAAATAGGAAGTGACCTCATTTATGCAACGTACACACACACACACACACATATACATAAGCATATAGCCATATATCCATGGCATAAAGTAGTGATTGTTGTTGCTGCTGTTGTTGTTGTTGTTGTTGGTGGTGGTGGTGCCATCGTTGTCCCTTTATTAGTGGGCGTGGCCGGAGTTTGAGGTCTGTGGGCGTTGCTTTTTGCCCGGCATTTAATTGCAAATTTTACGCTTGTTCTAAATTTGTTGCCGGAAAAAGGAGGCAGACTGCAGTAGACAGCCAGCAAAGCCACTGCCGCTGCCAGAGTTTCATAATTGCAAAATGCACTAAACACCCTTCCATTCTTTCCTTTTTTTTTTTTTTTTTGGTTTTTTTGTTTTCTGGGCCAAAACTCTCACGATGTCAGTGTCGTGTTCATTAGCCAGGAATGCTCCTCCTCTACTCCATTTTTATTATTTTTTTTTTTTGTGGGGTCCTTTTTCTTTTTTCGACAACCACACACAAAATGCACAAAGCGGTTTACTCGTCTTCTGTCTTCCGGTTTGCCCGCTGCTCTTTCGGTTCCTGTTCCTGGGAAATTCATGATTTTCCCATCGCAGTAAAAGCGAGAAAAAGAAAGCAAACAATGGCAATGGTAGCTTCATCGTCATCGTCATCGTCATCGTCGGTTGAATTCAATCGAGCTGGGGTTCAGTGGCCATAATGGGTAAATAGCAAATTGTTGAGTGTTGGTGCATAATGCCCCCGGGGATGGATCGGTTCTGGTTTGGAAATGTGAAATGGGGAGAGGGGAATGGGAATGGGAATGGGATATTGGCTTGAGCCCAGCAGGATACAATTCATCATTTTCGAAACATTACCAAAACACATTTCCAATTGAAAAGCATCAACGTGAGTTTCCCATTTGTATAATTACCAAGGGGATTTCCATGGGAGGGAGTGTGGCGAAAGTTTGGAAATCGTTTTTCACATTGTGCTTGTGCGTTTCAATCATTGATTGCGGAGCAGCAAAAACGGAAATAGGAGCGATTGTTAATCGATAAATAGCCGTTAAATAAATAAAGATGCTTTTTGCATTGGCGATTGTTTTGGGAAATTCGTTTTGCTCAAGGGTGAAAAGTGTTTTGCTCGTTTAATAGTACCAACGAATTTCCATAAAAATACAATGGAATATGGGAATAACAATGCAATATGTTTATCGGATATTTGTACTGCTAAAACGAATAAATAGTAAAAGCAACAAGGGATAAATAAAGGAGTTAAATATATCAGAGAAATATGCTTTAAAAGAGTTGATTTGCTTTGGTACCATTCACAATAAATAAACAAACAAATAAATAAATTTTGAATGAGTTCTTAAAATATAATTTAGCAAATCCTAAGTCTAATAAGTTGAAATCCTTAGCTATTTAAATTGATTTGTAAAACATTCAAAGCAATTATTGATAATAAATTAGATTACCTGGGTAAACAAGTATATGTATAGTCAATTATTACGAATGGCGATCACATCAACTGAGTCGTTGACGTGCAAGCTCAATGAAAACAATCAAAGAGATTCCGAGAAATAACAATGAAATCGATACCTTAGTTCAAATTGGCAACCCGAACATAATATTGGTATAACCTTGCTTGCTTTTCCGAGACGCAAACAAATGGATTGCCCTTCGGTCCGACGAGATTCCTCGGCAGTCAATTAAATGGCTTGTGAGCTTGGCTTTAATTGGAACTCCTTCGTAATAAGCAAATAAATTTCCAGTTCAAAGGCAGCAAAATCCTCGGCCAGACAAAATATCTGTGGCATTGTGGGTGTGGAATGCTCTGCCAAAATTCTAATCGAACCGAATGTGTATATTTTGATATGTTTTTCGGCCAGCTGGATTGAAAGCAAACACAAATGCTTGGCGGTGACGGGGTATTTGGCCAAAAAAAAAAAAAAAAAAAAAAAGAAAACAAAAATATAGAACGAAAGATGGAACGAGAAAGAGGATCCGAGCGAAATGCCAAAATGAAAATATTCGTTTTAGAGGAATGTGTATCTAATAGATATGCAGTGACAGCACCTGTATTTATGTGTCTGTATCTCTATCTGTATCTGTATATGTATCCGTATCTGCCACTCTGCATGTGTGGCCATATGTATCTGCATGCCAATCTGCAACTGCATCGGTATCTGTATCTGTATCTGTATCTGTATCTGTATCTGTGCATGAGTTTGCATAGAAATTAAATAAATATTTGCGTGCAACTAAATTGGAATTGGAATGCCGAACCCGGCTGAGGCTCTGATTCTGATTCGCATTCTGATTCTGATTTCGATACTGATTCTGATTCTCATTCTGATTCTGATTCCAGTTCGAGTTCGCCCTGAACGATTGCAAATCGAATTTGCATTGATGCAAATTCCAAGCCCACCCACTTCCCTCCCCCTCATAATTATTATCAACAACGGCGGCAGCAGCAGCAACTTTATCATTTCTAATTGCAAATTGCGTATTTTTATGACCTCTGCCGGCGATAACAAGTGCACCAGAAAAAAAGTGAATATTAAACTAGGATAAATTATTAAGCTTTCCATCTTATTGTGTTTACTGTGACAGAAACTTATTGTTCGACGGTTTTAATTATATTTCTAGTTCCCAATGAATTGAGTAATAAATGTTTATCTTACTGTTTTTTTATTTCAACAGTTTTTAAGCAGACTACTTTGAATAAACTGAACAAGTTGCTGATTTAATCTGCAATTGGAATTTAAGCAATTTAACATTTTGTATTTAAAAATAGATATAGATTCATGTACTTCAAAATAGATAAAATAAATGAATACATTATTTAGAAGCCGCATGAACGACTGACTAAACTACTAAATAGCCTCATCTAATTTTCTCTCCACTTAAAATAAGCTAATATATTATTATGAATAATGTATTCTATGCAAATTTGCATTTGCTAGTTTTGTAAATATATTTTACCCGCATTGTTGGCCATCTGCAATTTGTTCCTGTGTGGCGAACGCTTTGTGCTCTGCAGTTTGATAAAAAATAGCCATAAATGAAATAAATATATAAGCCCCCGGGGATTACGAGTTAATCATCGTGACCAGCGCACTAAGCACTCTCCAGTCTCCACACTCCACCATCCTTTCTCCTTTCTCAACTCTCCTCTCTCCACTCTCCACCGATTTCCATGACTCGATGGCCCGTGGTGCATTTATCGTGTCAAGTGGTTTGTCGCATATTGTTTGTTTAGTGGCGGAACTCCGGCTGAATGCCTGAATGGCGTTGTCATAGGTTTCAATATGGAATTACGTGCAATTATTGACAGTTGTCCGCTTTTCAACTCGTAAATCGCTTGACGTAGAGGGCTTATGCACTTACCAATGTGTAATCACACACGTTATATTAATGTTTTATTGATGAGATTTTAGTGAAACCGTCGCCATTGCTCTTTGACCGACAGAAGCGAAAAGCGCTTTGAAAAAAGCTTAATGGGGTTAAATGGTTACTTTTTTTTTTTGCATATTAAATTATCAGTGGGTTATGTTTTTATTTAATTTCGCATGGCTCATATTTACCTCAAGCGCTTTATAAATATAAGCCTCTTAAATTAAACTATATTTGCTTTTCTCTCGCTGTGTTTGTTAAATTTTACATTAGCTGAAATAACATAAACGTTGCACATTTAATTGGGTTTATGGCTGATTATTTAGTTTCAAGTTTTTAAGACCAAAGCCTAACAAAAAGGAAAGCTAGGCAGCAAAATACCCTTGTAGTCCTCACAAATGCTTATTCATATAAAATCAATGAATCAAAATTTCCTTAAGATGTATGCATTCCATTCCTTAACATGTATGCCACTTAAAAATCGCAGTAGAATTAGAACATTTTTGGTAAATTTACCAACTCTTAGATTCCAAATAGCAGGCCAACCCTCTGCAAGGGTACAACAAAAAATAAATATAAATTGATATAAAGTCATCAAATATTTAAAGTGCCTATAATATTTTATCGTTGTTACAAGCAACAATAGTGAAGCAGAAAAATGCTTTATTACATTATCAAGAACAGTGACCAGAGGATTTCTCGGACAACCAACAGATATCCTTAGCACAGGAGATGGTCAAAGGAAAATGAAAACATTAAGCAATGTATTTAGCCGAAGAAGAATGTGGCCAGCAATGGAAAAGCGAGCAAAAGAAAGAAAATAGAAGGAAATGTGCAAAAGGGAAACTCATGCACGGTTGCCTATGAAACGTCGTCCATTCCGCTCAATGCGTGTATCATCGGTTCCCCCTTTTCTCCCCTTCCCCCCTTTCCCCTTTTTCCCACCTCCCAGCATACCCTTCACTTACAATTTCCTGGCTTTTCCCCGAATTTCCCCGCTTGCGTCCACCATTTGCATGCTTCGAGGGCCAAAAATTGCTCTCCAATGCGTGACAAAGCAGAGTGCAAAGCCAAAAGGAGAATGGAAAACTAGCAAACGCTCCGATAAAGGAAAAGTCTTCTCCACCGAACGTGAAAGGGGTGGAGAATTCTGTGAAGGGGGGAGGGAGGGAGGTAGGGAGGTAGGAAGGTAGGGAGGGGTGGGGAGGAGGGTGGTGTTTCTAGAGTGGGTTTTCAGGGTGAATGGCTGGCAGGCTGCCTAACGATCTATTCACGTCGAGAGGCGTCTCGAGACTCCTGGCGACGACAACGAGAACTATTGAAGCGTATTAATTCTTTTTAATGCCAAAATAATAACGACGCCATTATGCCGGGCAACGGCAGCAGCAGCACCACCACCACCACCACCCCGACAAACCCACCCATTTAGCCAGCCATCCAACCACCCAATACCCTCTCCATTCCACATTTCGCCACCTCTTTCTGTTTTTCGGTGGCGCCGTCGGTTTTTGGCCAACGAGACGGCGACCAAAAGTCTGCATCGAAATGTTTTCCAATTGACCAAACAACGCAAAAATAAAAGCCAGCAACAGCAGCACCAGGTTCAAAACAACAAAACCATGAAAATGCGATTGGAAATATGGGAAAAGTTAAATGCTCTTTAGATAAGTTATCAAACAATTGGTAACATTAAATTCTTTTAATTTATCGACGTATCAAAACATTATATAAAATCTATAAAGTTAAGCTCTTCTTTATTACTTACAAATCTTTTTTGTTTAATTAAAGCATTAATTGTATACAAAGTATTAAATTATATAATATAATAAAAAAATTAATAAATACTATTGTTCCTTTTTTTTTTTTTAATCTTCAGCATTTTATTATCTATAACTTATTTTACAAATAAACTTATTATAATTAGCATACTTACATTTGAGTAACAAGCTTCTCACAATATCTTATCCGATACCAATAAGTTTATCTATTTAATGTTACCCTTTTAAAGGGTATTTAAATATCAGCAGAGTATGCTCGGGCATGTGTCCGATACTTATAAACATAAAAACTGATAACGAAATCAAAACGTCGAGCCAAACGATTTGGAAATACTTGGACAGCGAAGGCAACAACAACAACAATCGGTCGGAACAACAAAGAGAGAGCCTTAGTCCTTCTGTCCGGCCGTAACATCAATGTAACGGCCATACAACATTATTATCATCGCAAATGGCAAGTTAGACAAACACATTGAGTGCCCATTTAATGGCCAACCACCCTACTCCCCACTCCCCCATCCCCATCCCTTTTCCTTCTTCTTCTCCGAAGGATCCAAACTCGAACCCAAAGCCAAGTTCTTACCCAACTCAAGGCTGGACAGTGGGTGGTTCTGGGTGGTCTCCGGGTGGGTTTGGGTGCCAATCGGGGGTGGCAGTGTATCAGCAGTAGATGGTTATGGGTCTAGGCCCATAATGACCAAGCTAAACAGCAAATGAACTTTTAAACGTATTGAATTGACGTTCCACAGACAGAATCTCCCTGAATGAGGCGTCAAAAGAGCCGCTGGCCGAAGTGAACCAGCCAGAAATGGAGAGAAAAATAGGCTTCAACGGGGGCGGGGTTCTTTGGGGTTCTAGGGGCTAGATGGAGGCATTAATGGGTTGCTTTGGATGGGACTCAGATATAATGTCTGCCTGCTGCTAAGTGTGTGAGCCTACAGGCAATGGTTGCACTAAAGGCGGCCCATCGGAAAGCGAAAAACCCACAAAAGAAATACTAAGCCCGGAGAACAGTTGGCAACACAAAAGGACACAAAGGAGGTGCGGAACAGGACCAAAGGATACAGCTAACGTTAACTTTCCGTAACAAAAAGGATGCAGCCATCAATGTGAAACCAGAACGGTTCTCGGCAAAACTTCCTTTTAAACAGCCAAAAATATTTTCATTTCGATTCGAAAAACCTGGTAAGAGGCATTTAGCAAAGCAAAGAAACAGTAAAGACAAAACATTCCCTAACAAAATTAAAATTATTTACAGTTCTATAAGGGATATCCATATTCTTTTAATTTTTTATCGGAAAAACTTAATTTTTACAAGGGAAGTTTTTTACCAATTAATTGTGTTTTTCGTTAGAATAAACAATATTGATATTTCACATTTTCCAGAAAGCCTTAGGAGTTTTCTGCCCGTAAAAACAGATTTATAAATGCCATAAAAGCGTAAAATTGACGGATAAAACGCTGTGTTACGGCTGCAATTTGCCACTGTAAGCCAAAACTCGAGCAGCGGCAACAAATCACAGTTCGAGCACCACTACTCGTTGGGAATCGAATCGAATTGAAAAAACGGAGGCGTGTTTGGAAATTTATTATGGTCACGATCGTTCGTCACCTCGTTCACTTTATGGCCGAAAATAACAAAACAGCGGCACATGACGTGGCTCCTACTCCTGTTTTTTG